TTCCTGTGCGTCCCCCGCCCCTTCCCGTGCCCCGCCGGGCTCGGCCACCCCCGGTCCCCGGGGCCAGCAGCATCCCAGCCCGCAGCCCCCCATCTCCAGTTCAAAACCAAACCCCGCAGCCGCCGCCGCAGCGATCGACATCGCCAAATATCGATTTTTCCCAGGTTGGGAAATTCCTTTCCCAACCAACGTTTCCTCTTCTTCTGCCCCTAAAGCCGCTCTGTTACCAAGATGCTTTCGCACACTGGGCCAAATCCCTACAAGCAGCAGGGAGCCGCAGCCAGACTCTCTACCGAGCGCCCGGCGAGGAAGGGAACTACGTGAATAAAACCCGGTGTTGTTCAGAGAAGGGTTGCGCGGCGTAGAAGGATGCTGACGGAGCAGGGGCATCCCGGGGACACGGGATGCTGGCAAAGGTTGGGGCTCCCCCGCTCCCGGCTGAGGCGGCTGTTCCTGACCGCGCGGGACCAGGTCCCGCCCGCGTTGCCGGTCACAACGATGACATCTTCGATGTCAGACAGGCCCCTCTCATCAGAGGAACGTCTCTGGGAGACCGAGGGGAGATGCTGCCCGCCGGGATCTTTCCACAGCACCTCCGGTTGCGGGTACCAGCCGGACGATTGACACACCACGCGGATGCCTCCGTCCTCGTAAGCCTCCAGAGAGAGCTGAGGGACAGAGCCTGTGGCTGGGGAAGAGCCCGGGGTCGGGGGCGAGTTAGGGATGGACTCAACTCGGAGGCGAAGACTGAACCCGATACCAGCTGCACCGCAGGTCCCGGAGGGGCTGCGGGACCGGGCACGGCCCACGCTGGTCACACCACCAAAACCACCCCAACTTGTGCAGGAACCGGAGAGCACCGGTGCCAAGCGACCCCGGACCTCCCATAAAACAGCCCGGCAGAGGAAGACCGAGCTGCCGAGCTTCAGCGCCTCAAGGCAGCGTCTCCGCGTGGACCCAGCTTTGCTCAAGAAGCCCTGAGGCTTCCAGACAACGCGCCAGGTCTCCTATGGCCAAAGCAAAGATCCCGCTGGCCAGACCTGGGGAAGAAGTCTCTTCCCAACTCCAGCCACGGCCTTTGGTCCCATCCTCGGCACGGTCGGCAGCCCAGGCTCTGAGCCCAAGGAGCCGCTCGGCAGCTCGTGCCCAGTGCCTTCGCAAGTCTGGATCGGGCTCACGGTGGCGCTGGACAAGGTCACCTGCACGTGGCCGGATGGCTCCATGCTGGACCCCAAGCACTGAGTCCAGTGCATCCCTTGGGTTTGTCCCCAAGCCACCACATTCCCAAAAGCCAGTCTGGGTCTTGCTCCTGGGGGGCCTCCAGGAGCTTTTTCTGTCCCCCCCCCCAAGGGACAGGGACCTTCTCTCCCCTCTGGCAGGTTCCCCAACTTGGGCTTTGCCACCAAGGGCAGCCGCACCCTGGTGAAAGGCTCCCAGATCCGCTCCGAGGGCTGCGACGCCGCGGCCAGACGGGGCTGCGAGAAAGACGCTGTCAGCCTGTAGCTGCTCCGGACCTGCCGGCAGCCCTACGGGTCCCCACGGCTGGGGGGCAAATACCTGCACCCCCTCTTCTTGCTCCGCGCCCTGGCTTGCTCTAAGGAAGGGGAGGGTGGCGGGGCACGCACAACTCCCTGCATTTCCACCCCAGGTTCCTTTGCTCTCTTGCAGGGGCCGCAGCACATCCTCACCAGGAAGGATGGAGCAGGGAGAAGTCCCGCTTTTCCCTAGGGAAAAGAGGGGGACACGATCCCGCTCCCTGCCTGGAGCCGTCCCAGAGCTGCATCCCAGGGCTTGGCCCTTCCCCCAGCCCCAGGAGCTGCCGGACAACATTAAAGAAAGACAGAAAATTTAAAAAATTATTATTTTTTTGGAGCAGATTCTGCTAGAAGAGAGTCTCTTGCAACATCATTAAAAAAAAAAAAAGAAAATAAAAGGAAAAAGGCGCACGAGCAGAAAACACACCCCGAAGCTGGACTGGGTGAGGGCAGGGAAAGCTCATGGGCAGAGGCGGAGGTGGGAGCCTCTCCCCACCCAGAAGAAAGGGAAGATGCTCTCCCCTCCAAACGCAGCTTTTTGGAACGTAAAGAGGGGGGGCTCACGCTTGGCGAGGTAAAATGCCACTTGCCCCCCTCCGTAGTCCAGAGCCACCCGCACCCTCCCAGTTTCCCCAGCGGCGGGGAAGGTGGTGATGGGGGAAGTGAAGGCACGGTACCGATTCCCGCACCGCCCCATCGCCCAGATCCCCTTCTCCGGCCGAAACTCAAGCCAGCCTTTCCTCGGAACGGAGCATCGGGCCACCCCCAGCGCCCAGGTCCTGCCTTTGGCCACCTCCACCTCCCAGCAGTGTCTCCCTGCGGCGAAGCCCCGGCAGCCCAGCACGCAGCAGGAGGCATCGAATCGCTGGGGGGTGGTGGGCAGATCCTGCCCCGCATCCGTCCATCTCACCCCCCGCCGGTCCCGGGACAGGACGAGCTGGGCGTTGGCGGTGTCAGGGTCCAGAGTCACG